CCTGCTGAAGGACAACCACCTCAGATGCTGAGGTTCTGCTTGATGGAACGCAAGTTTTTACAAGCTGTTTGAGTTTGAGGGTGCGTTTACAGCTGTGTAAATGCCACCTCTGCATGTTGCACTAGAAAGCTGCAGCAGCCGGTGGTGGCACAGTGGAAAGTTACTGCAGCTCTATGGACCGTTTTGGTGCTGCCAAATATATCAGCTGGTAGAGTTTAGTCATGAATCATGCTAATGATGAGGCTGCTGGCTTCCTACCCCTGTTCTCTGCAGTGGTAATCCTGTCAACAAAATAGGGGCCTTTATTGAGTTAACTGACAAACTCTGATCATAGAACAGAACCGTGCTGTCCTCAGTCACCTACTATTGCTTTAAAAAGCACTAGCATTTGTTTGAATTATCTGCTATAATTCATTTTGTGAATGTCTCAATTAAGAGCAACAACAGCTTGGCTCCATTAGTGTCTCGAGATCACAAAGCAATTAAACGCAGGTTTTGCAGGCACAAAGCAGCCTGACATCCTGGTCAGAATGATCCAACTTAAAGAAAGAAAAACAGAGCTGAGCTGCAGGAACAGAGAACGCGGTGGCTCTTTAACAGAGTTTCATAAAGAGGAATGAGTGAGCGCAGCTGCCAGACACTTGGGGTCTGAGCCAAGCTGTATTAAAACAGGGTGTATTTTAAACAAAGCTTGCATTTGCACAGGGCCAGAGGGTGGCATGCTGCGGATAGCTGACTCGTAACTGTTGTGTTTAGCGTTAAACACAGTGTCCTGCCATGGCAACGTGGATGAGTTCCCCTCAGTGCCATCAGCCAAGCTGGAACTGTTTCTAGGCAAAGCAGTCACAAAAATGAGAAGTACATTTTAATTGCTGGGAAGAATAAAAAGAAGATGATGTCTTTACACAAGATAGTTTATATCATTAAAGCAGATGTGTCTGTCAGGTTTAATCATCATCAGGAAAAGGTACTGACAAAAAAAGAAATGGGTGCTTTGGTGTTTATGTTGTACTGTAACATATCAGTTCAACACTTTGATCCAGACTGAAGCATACTGTATAAACAGCCAACTATAAGAGTCATCCTAAAAGCCTGTAGTAAGATTTATGGTCCCTCCCCACTGTATACTGCCACCGTGAGGTGTAAACTGTAAGTTGTCCATCACTTTGTTTATTACCTCCACCAAGGAGGTTAAGTTTTTACTGGCTTTTGTTGGTTTGTTTGTTCACAACGTAAATCAAAAAGTAGTTAGTTGACTTTTAGTGGATTTGTTTTGTTTGTTTTTTTTTGAGAGGTACAAAACAATCCATTGCATTTTGGTTCTATTCTGGATCATCATCTGGATCCATAAATTTTTTAAAGGATTATTTTTCAGAATGTTTATTTCTAACTCCACACATAAAGCCTACAGTGTTTGGGCAAAACATGCACGAAGTCTGTTCTGGATCTGCTGATTCAGAATGTTGAAAATTAAGCTTTAGGGCTCTTGGAAAACCTACTACTGTGAGAAAACACATAATGCAACAGACTTGCAACTGAGATCACACTGTAGCTGAAACTCTGCTGACTCAGCAGGTGTCAGCAGCTCTGATGTATCTTCAAAAGTACTGAGCTGGATCCAGAAGAAAACAAAAAGATTGTTTTTCTTTAATAACTTTCAAATTAATAATGATATTAATGTGATTCCAAATGCTAGCGGTAGGTTTTCCTGGTCAGGGAATCATATTATAAATGGTCACACTAACATTGGAATATTGACGTTCATTTCAGACTCAAATATACTTTTGACTGAACTAAGACAGTGAGTCTTTTCTAATAGGCTACACTGAGGCTAAAGCTTCATGTACCAGAAACAGCATCCTTACCTGCTGAAGAGCCATGACGACAATGAACATTGTTTTTTCCTTACAGATTAGAACCATTATGAGGAAATATGTATGGACATATTCTTTTATTCTAACATAACTCAATTTTACTGCTTAACTAAAACATTTCCTATGGCTGAAGTGCACCCAAATGTTATAAAAAATTGTTAAGGTCAGGTCAGAGCATGCTCCAGTGTGACTCTCTGTCCCGCATTATGATTTGAAGGATCAGTCCTAGTACATCTGCCTATCATGCACATAATCCTGGTTGCTATTAATCAGATTTTGATGGAGAAAGCTGATTCTCATGACCTAAATGCTGCCTTTGTAAAGCTGTACTGACAGAACTTGATGAGTCCCTGCATACAGTTGGCGCAAGAAGGTGCCACAGTTTTGTTTACGCTGATTTGTTTGCTTGTTAGTGGTTTAACAGGTGCTTTGCTTGTTGTACCTGCAAAACATTTGTGGCTATATGTTTCAGTTTCTGCTCTTCTGTTTCATTTTTTTGCTTTATACCCTTCCTGATAAAAAAAGATACAGTAATGAAAAGCCTGAGATACATTTTCTGCAGCACAAAGCTGCTCTGAAACTCTGTCTGAACTTCAAACTACCAATAAAAACCCAGCTTATGTCATTCTCGTCATTATTTTTGTCCAGAAGAATCCTGATGCGTGACATTTCATATTTACAACTGTCATCTTGGAAGTCAGCAGCGTGTTACCCAGTGTGAACCGTCATTATGGGAAGTCACAAGCAAAAAATTCCAACTTGCTTTATAGCCGACAGATGTTGGATAATAAATATTGTAACTGACTTCTGAGCTTTTACTGTCAAGTTGGTTTGAGGCACACGAAATGAATCTGTGTGTCTTTCAGTGTAGTAAATTTGGTCCTTGGCATGCAGCAGCAGGTTGGTCACCAAGCACAGGTTTTTTTATAGTATGTTATGCTGACACTGGCTGGACTCAGTACAATGAAAAATACAGAAATCTTTCAAATTCACGACCCTGTAAACGGTGGTTCACCTCATTCTAACAGAGTGTAGCAGTACATGGTGACTTCCTGCCAAATGGATGAGACATTGCCTAAATGTACACTTGTTGCCATTTCATGTTGGACCTAAAACGTTTGCTAATATGGGCAGAGTTAAGCAACAGGGGACAGTGTGCATGGATTTATAAATACTGTGGTAAATGTACAGTATGTATGTATTTATTGTAGTCCCTTTTGGATATTAATGTAATATTTGTTAATATTTTAAATAGTTAACAGTGTAGTAAATTTATTTACTATTTGTGTTTAATTAGTCATTCCTTTATTTGAATATCTGATAAATGTATGCATGTAAATGAATTTATTATTTATTTAGTAAAGAAAATAGTAAAATTTTTTATTTATTAATGTGAATTTATTACAATAATACCATAGTAAATGTATTTATTTGATTTTATTACAGTATTTGTAAAAACATTTATTAACACTGTAGTATATGTATTTATTTTTAGGCATTCATTAATTTATTAAAATTTATTATAAATGTGTTGTAATGTTTATAAACGCAAAAAGCTTTATTAATATAGCCTTAGAGTGATAATTTATATTTGGGTATGAAGTTTGCGTGAAGAAAATAAATGATACAAATAGCAACATGTAAATATGGGGGAAAATCCTGTTTAAGGTATTCCCGTTTGGAATGCGGCTTTACCGTGATTACTGGTCTGCGGTGTCATTCTCAGCTGGCCCACTCTCGGACCACCTTAAATATTTCCGCGCTCGCGCTAAGGTAACACGTACCCAGTCACAAGCAAGCAAGCGCACGAGCCAAAGCGGGCGCGTGCGGCGGCAGTAGAAACCTTGCGAAATCACAACTGGGAGTGAACGCGCAGGCGGTGGTCGCACAAGAAATCTTCTGAGTACTTTTCAGGCTTTTAGAAACTTCTTCAGCTTTCGGTATTAACGTTGAACTGGTGTGGAAATACTTAAACATCGGGGATATGAGAGGCTGTGACGGCTTGTCTACATCCGTCGGGCGTTTGGAGCGAAGCTAGCTAAAAGTCCAGTAGTTTTCTTCCAGCTCAGACGCAGCCCGTGAACGTGAAGGCGATTTCTACTTGCCGTGTAATTTTCAGCTTTATTTTTCTCGGTTTTCGAGGGATGTGAGTCTTCCCAACACGTTTGGACCCGTCGCAGTTGACTTAAAATCTACCTAGAGCGACTTTTCCCCACTTTGTTGGCTCCGAATTCAAACCATGTCGACCACGGCGCTTTACGCGGCGAAGAAACGGAAGAAGCCGGTCCAGAAAATGTAAGTGAACAACAGAAGTAGTATCACGGTAATATTCCGGTAATACCCCTACAGTATCGCACAGCATGGGTAAAAAAAAGCGAGTGTACAATGACTTTATTGTATTTTACCTTATGATTGCTTTTGTATGTCTAAGATATATCAAAAGTGCGTCTGGTCTTGTACTCTGTTGTACTGTAATACTGCACTAATACAACCACGCTAATTACATTATAGAAACTACACCTGTGGTCTTCAGCAGTGAATTTATAGCCTAAAACCATGGCACAAATAACTTATATTTCCATAGAATCATCATGAATTCATGTTCTTTAATGCACCATAATCTGCATCCACGTGTTGTTTTATTAGTTGAAACTTGTATCCCACATAGACAAGAGATGGCTCTTTTGTGGGTGGTTCCAGCTGTGCAAACATCCCCAGACTAGTCCCTCAGTATTCATTACAGCCTGGGTTACATGGTAATAAGAGTGTAATAAGCTGCACTCTGTGTGTGCAATAGTAGCTGCATTGTCCTTACTTGAATCCATAAGGCCATAAAGTTTATTTTCTCTGCTGTGGTTATGAAGCGTTGGCCCGCCAGACCGGTGTAATGTGAAGTGTCTAACAACACTGCAGGCCTATCCAGCATGGAAAATAAAGAAAACTGTTGCTTTGGTATTATTGCAGTCTAATTATACCGCCCAGCTGGGCGTTCTGGACTGCTCTGTGCTTCAAACACTAGAAACTCATTTAACTCTTCAGAAGAGACCTTCTCTGAGTGCATTGTGGAATTTAGTATTTCTACTGAGTTTTGGTTGGAGTGTGCTTTGTAAACGAGGAGGTTGACAGTAGAGAGAGTGAAACCCCACATCAGTACGACGGACAGCCCGCCGTATGTATATGTTGTATGAGAACCACTGGGTCAGCAGCAAATCCCTTTTTTGTTTAGAGGAATGTATGTTAGACTGAGTTTTGTTTATGTTACCAGTGCACTGTGAAACCTATAATTGTTCTTTATTGAAGCTTCAAAGAAAACTGGTTCCTTATGGGATCTTTATGGCTTGGCACTAAACAGTCATACTCAAACGAATCCTTCCAGGATCAAAATGTACTTTTATATGTAAGGAGCCCCTAACAAAGGATGAATAATTCTTCACAGACCCTTAATTTTGCAGCAGAGAAGCACTAGAGAGATCATCTAAAGCACCAGAGTTTATCTGAGACCCTTCATGGTTCTGCAAAGAACCTTTTGTGAGGTTCTCTGTAGCGCCATGTAGACCCTGCACTCTTTCAGCCACACTGTGTTCATCAATGTGATTGTATCAGGTTGTTACTTTTAACTTTAACAGGTGTTAACTGCACCATACAGAACCACAGACCCAAGCAGAGAACCACACCAGAACCCTGCCAGAACTGTGGTTTCAGTGTGTGTGTGTGGTATTACCTGCATTAATAATAATCAAGACATGGAACGATGTTTCCACGAGGGAAGAGGGAGGGAGGATGGTGTAATCTGAGACTCACTCTGTGTTTTCTTTCCTCCTCCTCTGACCGCCTCAACATACTTCTTTCCTGTCTTTCCTTCTGTCTCTGCGTATTTTGGGGGGGTTGTTTTTTCCTCCTCCCCTCGACTCAAATTAACATAGTTTTGTGTCACACAAACGCTTATGTAATTCCGTCATGTTCACTTGCCTTAGTTTTTAAGAGAAGCTGCTCTTACAGAGTTTATCTTTCATTTCTTTGGGGGCTGACATTGGAGTGATTGAGCTATGAGTCTGTTTAGCCCACAGACGCGACTGGAGGCGGTGTTACTGCAGCCTACCCCGAGGCGGTTCACCTTTGTGTATACTCAGCTCTGTAAAACTAGAGCACTGAAATTTGTGGTAATGTCTGTGAGTAGGAAGGAGCCGCAGTGCAGCTGCACAAAAGTTAGAAAACAAACACAACAAATTTGATATAGATGGCCAAAAGCATTTGGACACACAAATCTGCCTCTGAACTCTGAAATTTCTCTGAAGTCTGGACGCTGGCTGCAGGGATTTGCTCCCATTCAGCCACAGCAGCATTAGTGAGGTCCAGTATTGGTGTTTGGTGATACAGTCTGGTTCATGGTTCATCTCAAAGGTGGAGGATGTGGTTGAGGTCGGGTGTCTGTGCAAATATAGGATGCGGATGCTGGTTTGTTTTTGTAGATGCCACTTCAGCAGAGGCCATGCTGATGCACCTTGAGGTATGCAACTGCTTTCCTCATGACTGACATGTGATGGACATTGGTTTCCAGCTTTCACTTCCTGGATGTTATGACACAGTGATTCACTGACTTGCTGCACAGTTTTCTTTATTTCCTGCGTTTTAGTAATCAGTTTTGGTTGATTAGGGTGAGGGCTCTGTCATTTCCATGTTTTAACAGATGAGCAAATTGAACTTTTCATGCTCAAAGTAAACACATGAACCATGTTTATTAAGAGTTACTCAAAGTTAATGATGGCAGTGTGATGATAATATAGTGTACAATGGGTTTTCTCCCTTTATTATCTCTGTGAGTACTAAACTCCCATTATTTTATTACAGTTTTGGCCTTATTGCATTTTTGTATCAAAGTGTTAAAGTACCTTGATTGTCAGATACTTAATTAACTTGATTATTATGTTTGATTGTGTTTTTTATGTATTTTAGCCATAAACATTTGCTTGGTTGAGTGTTGTGATATAAATTCACATATAAAGTTACTGAAGATTTGATCTAAATAATAAAACTATGGTATGTATCATTATAGAAACGTTCTCACTACAGCTCCTAAAACACTGCCAAGATGTTCCCTATAGTATTTTATGGCACGATTATTCATGCATAGTACATTTATGTGAAACGATGTGAAGTGAAATGTCAATTTCAAGTTCAGGCAACGAAATGCAAATTATGAAAAGCACTTGGACTTCTGTTAATTCTGGATCAAATTTAAACATGTAGCACAGACTATTAGTTTGTGTGGCTCCAGAAATATCTGCTCTCTCCCTGAGCCTGATATCGATCAGGTTCTCACACTGTCCTTGTGCTCTTTTTCTTCCTTGTATCATGACTCCAGCAGGGAACAGACATCAGCATCGTATTGAGTTTCTTTTGTTCTGCAAAGGTGTCGTTGCCGTGTCAGAGACAAAGTGCCTTTGTGTGAACACAGGGGAGTGTTTCTTCAAGTCCAACACAACCCCATACTCACATGTGCACGCCCCTTCCAGGACAGATTTTGTAGATAAAGCAAGAAGCAACAACACTGGTCGCTCATTGTTCTTGCAGGGAGTTGTGGTGTCAGGAATGCATTGATAGCCATCTGGCCTCAGTCTCAGATCTGTTGAGTTCTGGAGTATTATTGGAAGCAGATGGAGGGCTTCGTCAGGACCAGTGTCAATATTTGACACATGTATGTTACAGTTACAGTTCAGGTGTTGAGTTCACACTGTCTGCTAGTAACATTTAAATAAGCTCACTGTCTTTATCTTGCTTCTAAAAAGTTTGTTATGCTTCATACAAACCAACATGTTTTCACACCACAGTTCAGGCCTGAGTTGCTATCTTTAACTTTTAGACCATCTTCACATTTTCTGCCAGTGTCTATTATATTTCATCTACATTACACATATTTCACTGGAGGCTACTCTGACGATCTGGGCATAACTTGTTCCACCATGTCATGTTTATTTCTGGCTTGTTTCTACCCTGTCTCATCTAAAATTAACACAGGAAGTCTTCTTTCCAGGCGTAAGTTGTTCGTGTTATTTTTAGAGGCATTTTCAGTCCTTTTAGAGAGCACTTATTCTCTACAGTCACAAATTTTAAGATACTGCTTTAGTCTTATGTCCAACCATCTTCCTTCAGACTTTAGCTCCAAATTTCTGTTCAGGCATTTTGGTTGCAATTGTTTTCACACAGGTTGTTTGTGGTTTTCTGCAACTTGAGGCAGCATAATTAGACTTGAAAGGACCAGTAATCAGGAGGTTAAAGGGTAAAAGCCACAGTGACTAGAAAGTATGCAGTTATGCAGGTGCACCCACACAGTTGGCTTCACGATTGGTTCCACCTGACCTAAAATCCCCAGAGGAGTCATCAGAGGGAACCTAAAAACCATCAAACATACAGCTGCTCTGTGTCAGACTGGCCTATAATCAACAACCAGATGCTCTGCTGAAGCGTCCTGAAGGAAGAAATGTGACTGTTAGCTGCAACTAACAATGACATTGTCACTGAATTGATTCTTTTTATAGTAAAAAGTATGTGATGTTCTGTGAATAAAATAAAAATCAGATTATCAAAGAACTAATAAGCAGATTAATCAGTGACACCTGTATTTTTATATTCCACCTCATTTACTCAGGGTTTTTCTTTCATTACCCGGCTATACATGTTTTATGGCAGCAGGTTCCCAGGTCAAATCTCTTAATTCGAATGTCTTCCTTTGCCCTTTAGCAAGGCACTTTTCAGCATCTGAGCTGCATTTCAAAGTAAACTAATTTCTCCACTCAACAGATAAACAACTATCCTGCAAAAACCACTTTTCATTTTACAGTCTCTTTAAACAGGCAGTAGCTGGTGCAAGAGTCTTGCTTTGATTTGTGCTGTGCTTGTCTGAGTGGTGATATTTTGGTTTTCTTTTAGAGAAGAATAAGACTAAGAGTGTCTGGAAATTTTGGTGTTTTTCTTTGAGGGGAAGTGAAGATGATTTGTGTCGCAGTTTTTAATTGTATGACATTAATAAGCACTGTTAACAGAATTTGTTTCAGTTCTTATTTTACTATAAAATAAATAAGTCTGATGCAGGTAGAAATATTAAAAATTGTAGCTGAAGGAGTAAAAAAACACAAAATAAGCAATACATTGTCTCTCCTAAATTATGGCCCCCCTCTCTCTCTGGTGCTGCTCAGATATCAGACTGTGGTTAAACTGTACAAAAAAGAAAACTAGTCAAGTCTCAGTGTCAGTAAGAGGCATCTCCAGGGCCGACCTGAGGTGCTGCACATCTTCACACGTCCTCTGGATAAAAGAAAAGCCTCTCTGTGCAGTGAAAGTCTGGTTTGAGTTCTGTATGAGAAGCTGCAACTTTCACTTAAAGACACAGACTTGCTTTCTGCTGCTTTCGGTTTCATCTGGCCTGACGGCGTTGGCTTGAGTGATCAGGGTTTATTTACCATATTGCATAAGTTAAAACAGCAGAATGTGCTGTCTTGTCAAACCAGTGTGAGAAACTGTAGTGATTTTAAGTGTTGAGGCAGATATGGAAACCAATACGGGATGCTTACTCTTTTTATTAGCATTGCCCCACATACAACAAGTGGCACACTCCAGAAACAGGCCATACAACACATGTAAAGAGGAACTTGGAAATGCACAGAACACATTAAAGAGCAGAGAGCTGCTCTTTCTCTGCTTTGTTTTGACATATATTACAATGAATTGGATATGTAACCATGTACATTGTAGTTGTGTACTACCATTATTGACTGACTACTTAACAGTAGGCAAATTGACACTAAATTGTAGGAGCTTTTCTGTTTTGTGGCTGTCACAATTTAGGAATTACCAGTGTATGACTGGTCCTTGGTGCCTGTCCATACCATACAAACAGCAGGTTTGCTGAGTGTTGCTGAATATTGCAGTTGCTATGTAAACTGTAATATCATTTCAGAAAATAAGAAACACTTTAAAAACGAATCTTTTCATATTTGGAGTTTCTGAGTGCTCCATTTCCACTATAAAGCCTCAAATGCACCCTGATGTAGATAACCTGTGATTTTCAGCACCTCATGCTGTGGTGTACTGACAGAGCACAGCTGAACACACAGGTGGTAAACAAGTCCTGGAACAGGTGACATCAGGCATCACCTAGTTCCCATGGCAACAGTGGATGGCGCTAGACAGCATGTTGCCCTGCCCCTGGAGAGTCGAGGTGGTCCGGGCTTTGTTATTTTCCAACGTTCAGCAGCTGTTAGGATAAACAACTCTGCTTGTGTAGAGGTGACTGTGAACTGATTAAAGTTACATGAAAAAGCAGGTGAAGAAACTGAAGATTAAGAGACTATAATGTATAAAAATTAAAACGTTGTGCCTGTCATTTCTTTTTCAAAATGCTGCAAGCAAGCTCAGTTCAGACTTTTGCATTGTACTGTTGCTCAGAATCAACTGTTTTTTAGATCACCTCCCAGCTCTTTGCACTTTAAGATGGCCAAGTTTCCATCCAAATGTGGTGCACGTTAACTGAATTTACAGAAAATCTGTTGTTATGTGAATATTGGTTCACTGAGATAAACATTTGTGTGCCTTTAAACCAGTACTGAACATGAGGACTGTATTTATGTTTATTTCATATACTAATTTGTTACCTTTAGTTTTTATTGACACCAACTTTGCTGTCTTTCTTCCTCTTAAATCATTATACATTGCAACGGTTTTTCCAACAAAATAAGCCATGCTGAAGATGTTGCATTGGACTCTGGAAACCCACAATCTGCATTTCTGACAGAATAAACGATTGATTTGTATTTTAAAAAATCATCGTTGTGGTGTGAATGTTTGGTTACAGGAGTGTAAAGGAGACAAAATGACACCCTGTGTTTCTCCTTCTGTGTCAGTGTGTTATCAGTGTATCATCTCAATTTATCCCAGCCGCTGTTGTACTGATGCCCAAACACTGGTACACAGAGCACATTTAGCCTGAAGCTTGTTTCTTTTACTCATTATGCCCTGTGTCACTCTCAAACCAACACTGTGACTCTCAGGGGGAACAGAGTATGTTGAGATTTGTCATCTGTAAAGATCCATTTTGTCAGGCTGTCCATTAAAATCACCTTTCTCATTTCCTTTGTTTCCTAGCATAGCCTTCTTTGTTTTGTCTGAAGACTAAAGCCATGTTTATAACTTTGTCTCTCTGTATCTGCAGCCCCAAACCTCCACCCGCTGATGGCGCCAAGTCGAACCCTTCCAAACGCCACCGCGACCGGCTCAACGGCGAGCTGGACAAGCTGACCAGCCTACTTCCCTTCACTGAGCAGGTCAGGGCTCGGCTGGACAAGCTGTCCGTCCTCCGCCTCAGTGTCGGGTACCTGAAGGTCAAGAGCTTTTTCAGTGGTGAGTGTTGAAACGCTGAACATTGGGTTGACTCCCTCATACCCATGCTGGTTTCCAGCAGCGTTTTTTAAACCTCTAACCTTACAGGCTTAAGAGTGAATGAAAGATTCAGACATAGGTGACTTTTACTGCTTCATTCACACATAATGGGTTACTTTATTAGGTATAGGGGATGCCTCCTCACTGGCTGCATCACTAACACCTTCTCTGCCAGTGAACATCCTTTTCAGTTTTCTTAGCAGTTTTTGGGTGGAGAACTCTGCTGCCTTTGACAAGGTTGTCTGAGGCTGTCGAGAGATACATGTATCAACTAAAAGTGAGACTAGATCCACAAACGTTTTCCAATAGCATGAGGAAGCAAGGTAACGGCACCAAAGTCAATACAGAAATTATACAGACCCAGCTCTCAGAGGTGACTGCCACTACAGGCCAGCTGGACCAGGCGCTGCTCAACCTGAGCAAATGCAATGCAGATGCTGTGTGTCAAGCCACATATCTGCTTTTTGCTTGGGTGAGGGTAGGGTTCAGGATGCTTTGTGTTTAGGGCAGGTTAGGTCTGGAAAATGGTGTTGCTTATTGTGGGGCTCTGAAGATTTTTGACAGCCTGGCCTGACACCTCCCTCTCTGGGGCCAAATAATGGGCAAACATCATTTAACTTGTATGCTGAGTTTCCATATGATTGCTCTCCATTTAGTTGTGTATTATTGACTAGTAATTTGGGGAATTTTATATTGCCTTTAGTTTTAACTTAGAACAATGATTTTTAAGTGGTGTTAGGGTCTCATTTCAATTACCAGACAAAGCTTGCATTGCTATGAGGGATTCCAGCCTCTTTTTTCAAAATTGAAAATACTGTAAATGACAGAGAAGTACTAAGAGCTAAGGATAGTAGTGAAAGGGTTTTTAAGGACAAAATGGAGGAGGAATGATGCTCTAACCTCCTTTAAAAGAATCCGTAGATTATTCATAAAAAGTGAATTCTGCCCTGTTACTGGAGCAGGGAGGCTTGCAGCTCACTGAGGTTGCTCCAGTGTCCAGCGGGCTTCTTCACATTGTTCAGCGATTAGATCCAGACAGCCTGAAAGACAAGGTTTCTATTTCCAGTAAATAGAGTTGGGGGTGTGGTTGTCCCCAGCTGGGAGGATATATTAGTGCATGATCGTGAAATTTGGCCCTTCTGGCTTACTGTGTATTTGGAGCTGACCTCCTCAGCAACAGGAGGTGTGAAGTGAAAGGAAGGGAGGCGAGCATTTCTCTGTTAATGTTGCCAGGGCGATGATTTGTACACACTGGGCACGTGTGAAGACATTAGTATACACCTGTTGTGTGCTGTAGCTTAAAGTGCTAATGTACACGTGTATGACCATGTAGTGCATTTGTTTGTGTCTCAACAGAAACCTAAAAAGAAGCATTTCAGATCTCTCACTTCACGCTGTCATTTGTTTAGTTGGAGTCATCATTATAAACCAAATTAAGTGTTGTTTAAAAGGAATTTTGACACAAATGTGATAGCTGTCAATTGACATTTTATAGTGTGTTAGACTAGACTACACAAGTAGCAGCTGATCAGTCAAGCAAAGAACTGAAGATGCCTGCAATAGCTGCAGCCCTAATCATTATTTCTAGTATTTTTCTTTTACTTTGGTTCTTTGCGCATTAACGTATATCCAGCTTAAATACAGACTGAAAGCAACAACATGCTCTGCGTCCAGGTTAGCTTCTGGAGTTTTCAGATCAGTATTTAATAATCAGTTGGTTGATAAAACCTGAGCACCTCATTATTTCAGGAAAGTTAGCTTCAGCTGTAAGTGACGCAAATAATAAATTCTCCCAACAGAAGCATTTAGTGCGGAGGTTATATACAGTATCTCCAAACATTCGAATAAAACATCTGCTCTCACATTCACTTGATCGTCTCGAGAGTGAGGCCTTCGTTGTTGGAATCTCTGGGAGTTTTTGTTCAGGCTACAAAGTGAGCCAGAAATCTCAGCCGCTGGCGAGTAATCAGTGCATCACTGGCATTGACTAACAGCCCTGTCAACCCCTTTGCAGACATGCTGTGGTCTATTTGAGCTCTCAGACGATAAAAACTGCCTCCTCTATGCATGTATCTGTAGAAACAGTGCGTTCTCATCAAAACAAATTAGATTTTCACTCATCTTTTTCCAGCAGTTTCAGCCTCCTGCCAAAGGAAACAGACAACAGAACCTGTTGCTTTGGACTCCTCACTTATTTGGCAGCGTGGTCACTTAGTGTCAAATAAACAAATATGTTTGAAGGCAGCACTGGGAATCTGCTTCAGAGTCCTGCACAGGTCCAGTTTTGAAAACCCGCACACCTGGGATTTCCATGTGTTTCCTTAGTGAGGAAGTGCCTCCAGTTTGACACAGTGACGCCTATGTTGAGCGATGTCCTATTAGCTGGATGTGAGTTGAGGGGTCAAAGGTTGTGCCATAGGCCTTCACAATAAATGTATCAGTTATGTAGGCTTGATAAAATTATGCTGACATAGATGTTTATGTTTATTTCACTCGCTACTTGCCCGCATTTAGTCTATTTTTACCCATGTCCAATATATTTTTACCCAATATAAACATATGTTTTACCTGTTACACATCATTTATTTGCGGGTACCCGGCCTGACCTGGTCTAGGACTCTAGTCTGGTTACCTTCAAACTTGAATGTCGGCTGAGGTGCTGGGCTCTAGCAGTGCTCTTACTTTTAAATAAGATCAGACTTGTTAAGTGCAATAGAGTTAACAATTAAATAATTAGCAACATTTTGATAATTAACTCTTAGTTGTTTAATAAATCAAAAGTGGCAGATATTTTCTGGTATTTTCTTCTTAATTGCCACTTGTCTTTAACATTTTATAGAGATTTATCAAAAAGGGGAACAGATGAGAAGACATGATGTTATCATTGATTCACTGCTTTTCTGTCAGAGTCTCACTGGGAAGTTAATGTACTACATGCACAGTCATAGACAGAGATATGAGTTATCGTTATAGATATTGGGGACACACCTCCGCACCTCCAGCTCCTCTCCACCTGTTTCTTGGCTGCTGATCTGTCGCTCTCCCCTCCTGCTGAGCCCCACCCGTTTCTTGTGGCGGCCCCTACAGCACCCTGGGGCCCCTCAACTGTTCAGCCTTTTCCTCCTCAGTGCCGACGTCCACACCCGACCGCCACACCACCCACCACAACCTCCAACACACCAGTTTGTTGTTACAGTGAGGGAGACCTGTTCGCACGGCAGGCCTGCACCAGGACAGCTCAGGGCTTTATGCATTCATGAGATTCTCCAGCTCACACTAAGAGTTCCCCCAATTTTACTTCTTGTTTGCTCCTTCAGACGGTTCCTTTAAAGCTGACTTGCAGTGCATGCACCAGACTTCATCTGAAGTGTATTGTTGTGCAACATCCTCATTACTGTTGCTTTTGTGGCTTCTTTGTCCACCTTTAGATGAGCATTATGGGCTGTCTGCTTTACTGAAACCAAAAAACTAGTCCTTTAATTTCCTCTTGTGTCATTTATAGTTTCACCAACTTCATAAGCTTTGTGTGGGTCCAGGAGACCTTTTGAGAGCATTTTATTTCACAGTGTGATGTATCTTTTGTTGAAACGGGATGTTTGAGACATACTTAGCAACATGTAGGTGTGAATGTGTTTGTCAATATGTGTTAGCCTTTAAATAGACTTGCAGATTCTCTAGGGTGCACTCTGTCACCTGCCTCAGTCTAATAATAATAGTTACAACATGATGGTCACATAGACTTTGACTCACAGCTTTAAGTTCCTAACAGTGGTCTATAAACTGTATGTAAAGGATGGTGGCTCTGTATCACCACTTTGTTACTTCCCAAAGCACAGACATTCAGATCTCTCCTGTTCGGTGAAGCTGTCCACACGCTAGTAACCCTGCACTGTGCTGCTGTGTGTGGCCTCCGTGCAGTCCAGACACTGATG